CATAAGTTTTCCATCAAATTTCATACTTTTGGTGTCATTATGATCGGGAAAAAAATCTCTATCTTTTCATAACAAAAAATAATTTTTTTTTTAATTTGGCCGACCCTGAGAACATGTCTCTGAGAGGACCTGTCGACCCCCAAAGGGTTAAGTCAAACTATTACAGTACTTATTATCTTAGCCATTCTTCTTGTCTGGCTGTACTACTGTCTCCTTTTCAAACGAGCTTTCTTTTCTCTCTTCTTATTCAAGCATCTTATATCACTTTCACTTAGTTGCTTTCTTTCCTTTCCTGAATTATCCATTCCCTTTTACTTAGTTTCTGCGATGCTGCACTTTTGTAAACCACGAGCTCACTATGTTCTTTGTATTGCCATCCTTGTTACACAACTACTGCTTCCTGATAGTATATCATGTACTGTTTTGCCTTAGCTTTATTACCACTGAACTTTATTCCAGGATGCTCATATTGTGTAATAATCTCTCAGTCTTGTATTACCCTGGGTCTTACTATCTACCCCCTACCATCACCAAGCAGCCAAATCATAGAACTACAGTATATGGATGCAGCATTCTCATTTAATTTCCTAAATGTCTATACAAGAACATAAAAAGATGGAACACTGCAACAGGCCTACTGATCCATGTGAAGCAGGTCCATGCCCCCGCAGCCTAGAACAATGACCACTTAGTCAAGTCACTTCCACTTAGGGAAGGAGCACGGCACCAGACCTGGTAGCCCAAGCTAGTCAGGTCCAACTTACACCCACCCACACCCACTCATGTATTTATCCAACCTATTTTTAAAACTACACAAGGTCTTAGCTTCTATGACAGCACTCGGGAGTTTGTTCCATTCATTCACAACTTTATTACCAAACCAGTGCTTTCCTATGTCCTTCCTGAATCTGAACTTTTCCAACTTGAAGCCATTGCTGCGAGTCCTGTCTTGGCTGGATATTTTCAGCACGCTATTTACATCCCCTTTATTTATTCCTGTTTTCCATTTATACACCTCAATCATATCCCCCCTAATTCTACGCCTTTCTAGAGAGTGCAGATTCAGGGCCCTCAGTCTATCCTCATGGGGAAGATTTCTGATACACGGGATCAGATCCAGGCCACACAGGGAAAAATCCATACATAATTTGCAATGAAGGAATGTGATTGCACTTCTGTTTTTCATTGCATTTAATATATACTTCCCATGGCTGGCTCACCCTGCCTTGGCGGAGCACAGGTGGCTCACCCTGCCTCACTGGAGCACGGCCGGCTCACCCTGCCTTGTCGGAGCACGACTGCCTCACCCTGCCTCGCCGGAGCACGGCTGGCTCACCCTGCCTCGGCAGGGCATGGCCGACTCGCCCTGCCTCGGTGGGCACGGCCAGCTCACCCTGCCTCGGTGGTGCCCAGCCGGCTCACACTACCTCACCAGGGCCCAGCCGGCTCACACTACCTCACCAGGGCCCAGCCGGCTCACACTGCCTCGGTGAGGCATGGCCAGCTCACCCTGCCTCGGCAGGGCACGGCCGGCTCACCCTGCCTCGGCAGGGCACGGCTGGCTCACCCTGCCTCAGTGGGACAGTGTATGGACAGGTCAGTTAGGGGAGGGGGTCAGTGTGGGGAGGGGGTCAGTGTGGGGGTCGGGGGGGTCAGTGTTAATAAGTGACAGATATTGCGAGTACTGGCATGTATTGTCTCCTGTGTATCACGTGGTGTCCTGTGGACCGTGTGGTGTCCTGTGGATCGTGTGGTGTCCTGTGGATCGTGTGGTGTCCTGTGGATCGTGTGGTGTCCTGTGGATCGTGTGGTGTCCTGTGGATCGCGTGGTGTCCTGTGGATCGTGTGGTGTTCTGTGGATCGCGTGGTGTCCTGTGGATCACGTGGTGTCCTGTTGATCGCGAGGTGCCCTGTGGATCTCGAGGTGCCCTGTGCACTGTGTAGCGTCCTGTGGACAGCGTAGCGTCCTGTGTATTGCGTAGCGTCCTGCGTCTCGTGTTGGGTCGTGCGTCTCGTGTTGGGTCGTGCGTCTCGTGTTGGGTCGTGCGTCTCGTGTTGGGTCGTGCGTCTCGTGTTGGGTCGTGCGTCTCGTGTTGGGTCGTGCGTCTCGTGTTGGGTCGTGCGTCTCGTGTTGGGTCGTGCGTCTCGTGTTGGGTCGTGCGTCTCGTGTTGGGTCGTGCGTCTCGTGTTGGGTCGTGCGTCTCGTGTTGGGTCGTGCGTCTCGTGTTGGGTCGTGCGTCTCGTGTTGGGTCGTGCGTCTCGTGTTGGGTCGTGCGTCTCGTGTTGGGTCGTGCGTCTCGTGTTGGGTCGTGCGTCTCGTGTTGGGTCGTGCGTCTCGTGTTGGGTCGTGCGTCTCGTGTTGGGTCGTGCGTCTCGTGTTGGGTCGTGCGTCTCGTGTTGGGTCGTGCGTCTCGTGTTGGGTCGTGCGTCTCGTGTTGGGTCGTGCGTCTCGTGTTGGGTCGTGCGTCTCTTGCTGGGTCGTGAGTCTCGTGCTGGGTCGTGAGTCTCGTGCTGGGTCCTGTGTTATGCTGGGTCCTGTGTTGTGCTAGGCCCTGTGTTGTGCTAGGCCGTGTTGTGCTGGGTCGTGCATTGTGTTGGGTTGTGCGTTGTGCTGGGTCATGTTGTGCTAGGTCTTGTACTGTGTACTGT